ATAGCATGGAGACCCTAGTCATAAAGCTGGGGAAACAGCATTGGACCAAACCTAGCCCTCTGAATGTGGGTGCCAGCTAGGAGACCAAGACAGTCTATGGCTCCTCTAACAGTTGAGCCAGTCTTTATCCCTAGAGCACAAATGGACTCTGGGAGCCCATTCCCTATGGAGGGATACTATTGCAGCCCAGATACAGCAAGGAGGGCCTAGGCCCTCCCCCAAATGATATGACAGACTTTGAAGGTCCCCGGTAGAGGGCCTCACTATCCCTGGGGAGGAGTTAGGGGGTGGGTTGGGGGGGGTTGGTGGGGAACATGGGAAGATGGGAAGACAAGGGAATGGGGGGATGGATACTTAAAAATGAGTAGTAATTAAAGAATAAGTAACAAAATTATTCCAGGAAAAATATATCTGTACAAATCTCTAAGGGACACACTCAGATTCATACATAAATTACTATCATTAATTATATAATTAAATCAAAAGAGACAAATAAACCCCATCATTTTGTTTCATCTTCTGAGACAGGGTTTCACTATGTAATCCAGGCTGGCCACAAACTCACAAACATCTGCTTGTCTCCTCCTCCTGAGTGCTGGGATTAAGGTGTGAATCACCATGCCTTGGTACCACATCCTTTAAAAATTTTTTTTTGTTGTTTTTTGAAGCAGGGTTTTTCTATGCAACCTTGGCTGTAGTAATTAGACCAGGTTTGACTTGAACTCAAAGATCTGTGTGCCTCTGCCTCCTGCCTAGCTACATCCTTTTAAAATAATATTTTTAATTGTTTTTATGCATATGTGTTTCTGTGAGTTTATGTGCACCATCTTCATGCAGGAACAGTAGATGTCAGAAAAGGGTGTTGGATATAACAAAAATGTTATAAAAAATTAGAAATGACAAAAAATACTTAGAAATTATTTCACAAGAACATTACCGAGATGTCAAAACCTGATAAGGGATCTGCAGAGCACTGAGGTTATAGATGGTTGTGAGTCACCATGTGTGTTCTGGGAACCAAGCCTGAGTCCTCTGCAAGAGCAGTAAGTGCTCTTAGCCATTAAGCCATCTCTCTAGACACTTCATCCTTTTACTAAAAATGTTTATTTTGTGTGTGTGTGTGTGTGTGTGTGTGTGTGTGTGTGTGTGTGTGTGTGTGTGTGTCAGCTTTGTAGCCTGGGTTTTTCACAGGTTTAGAATTCCTAGGGGGTTGAGAACACTTCTGGGTGTATCTGTGAGGGCATTTCCTGAGGAATTATGGAGTGGCAGAGGGAGACCTACCCTGAATGTGAGCTGTGCCATCCCCATGGGCTGGGGGGTCTGGCACAACAAAAGGAGCAAAAGGCTAAAGCCAGCATTCCCCCTCATTCTCTCTGATTCCTGATGGGCCACAAGGTGCACAGCTGCCCTCTGCCTCACTCTGCTGCTGCCATGACACTTTCTTTTCCAGTGTGTGCAGCAAGTACTCTTTGACAGAACACTCTGGAAACCATGAGCCAAAGGAAATCCTTCCTTGATCCTTTCAGGCATTGTGATCATTGCTGTCCACAAAGTAATTGATACATCCCACACAACGCTAACCCCAGTGTTGAAGGAGGGTTTTTGTTTTAATTTTTTGTTGGGATTTTTTTCTTTTGTGATGCCAAGAATTGAACTCAGGGCTTTGTGGGTGACCTCCAGCCCCCACCCTTGGAGTCTTCCACATGGAATATCATGTCATCTGTGACCACCAACAACTTCACCCTTTCCCCTGCATGCAACTTATTTCTTTGCCTCACGGTGAGAAATGGGAGTTCTTGAATGTGGAGAAAGGGAGTGGTGAGATTAGATACATTCACTGTATTCTCTCAGTACCAGCATCTCTTTGACTATAATGTTAGCTGTAGTTTACTGAGTTTTCTTCTTCTCAGTCATAAATGGTTGATTTCCATCAAATGATCATGTTACTGCCCACTGTGACTTGTAGTTTCCTTATATTATTCTTATCAGGTATCAGGTATAAGACTTATTTTATTTTTTAGTTCTGTGTATGTGTGTGGATATAGGCACATGAGTGCAGTACCTGCAGAAGTCAGAAGAGGGTGTCAGATTCCCTGGAGCTGGAGGCACAGACATTTTTGATTACACTTATTTTTTGGGGGGATGTGCACACACATGCCATGACGTGAATTCAGAGGTGAGAGGACAACCTGTGGGTGCTGGTTCTCTCTTTCCATCTTGTGGTCTTGGGGAATGAACTCAGGTAATTAGGTTTGGTGTTGTCTTCACCTGCTGAGAGGTCTCATTGGCCCTTTGTTCTCATTCCTAAAGGGGGTCAAATACTGTTGGTATGTCTACATTTACATTTTAGGTGGAGTTCACCAACAAAGTCATCTCAGCCTGGATTTCATTTTTTTTCAAAAATATTAACTACGAGTTCCAGTTCTCGGATATTTACCATATACTTGATACTAGCCAAAAGGCCAGGGGTTAATAATTTACAGCTAGCACTACTGGCCTTGCTCATGGGTACTGGGGAAGTTTTAGTTTTTATGAACTTATTCCAACTCATGCAACTTGCTGACTTTATATAAGCATAGTATTCCTTTATCCTACTGCTTTAAACTGAACAAAAAAATGAAAATATATTGAATCTTTGGAATCAGTTAAACCAGTACTGAGGAGAAAATCTATATCAGAGGAAGAGTCATTTCCTTCAGTGGTCTAGCCACTGACAGATTGTTCAGTTACTGAACACTGACTTTGGCCTATTGTACAGTTCCTAGGTTTTCCTGTTTTGCACAGAACCACAGGAGTTAATTGCTTCAATATCACACACACACACTCACACACACACACACACACACACACACACACACACACACACACACACACACACTAACATGTTCAAACTGGAATGGGAACTGCAAAAGGTGCCTGTTGTTTCCATGGGCCAAGCTAGCCTGCTGGCACTCAGTCTCGTAATAGACAAGGGACAAGACTCTGTGTTTCCCAAACTCCTCGAGGGACATTTCCACCTTGCACAGCTGTAGTAGGAGCAGCACAGCATCTTGTGGCTTTCTGGAACAGAGGTCACTTAGACAAGAAAGAAGATGCTTTTCTCATCTTGGCAGGCTCTCTAACAAGTAATTCTATTACACATAACCCTTTGCACCAGGGAAAAGAAATGATGGCTCCAAAGTCTCCCAATAGGCCCTAAGTAGGAGGTGGGGTATTACTCACTTGTTTTTGATTCTATTTAGAATGTAGCTAATAATACTTTGAACACTCCTCCATCTTCAGGCACTGTTCCTTTTTTTGTTTGTTTTAAAGTTAGGGACAGCTGGGCTTGGGGGTTGGCTCAGTAGGTAAAATGCACACCACACAAGCATGAGGACCTGCATTGGGAAATTCAGCAACCAAGTAAGAAGCCAGATGTGGTGATGCTCACCTGTAGTCCCAGTGCTAGCGGGGCACAGAAGCAGATGCCTGGATTCTAGCAGCCAGCTAGCTTTGCTGAATCCAATAGTTCCAGGTTCAGATAGAACCTGTCTCAAATAAAAAATAAGGTGCAGAGTGATTCTGGAGGCCACCCTAGGTGGATCTCCTGGCCCCTTGCATATATATGCACACACATGTACACATAACCACATACACAGATGCACCCATACACCTTTCCTTCATATATATATGCACACACATGGATGCATAACCACATGCATAGATGCATCCATACACCTTCCCCTCCAAAGTTAGAGAAAGCCAGGATCAAACTATGGATCACTATTCTTTAAAATGTCCTTTGAAATCAAGAGTTCAGAAATGAGTAAGTCTATACAACTAAGTAATATGTAAATGAACCGGCTGGCATATTTTAATCTAGACTACAACATAAAAGAACAATGTCTTATTTTTCTGTTGCTGTGATAAAATACCTTAAAAAAAAAAAAGGCAACTTGCTGGGCATCGGTGGCACACGCCTTTAATCCCAGCACTCGGGAGGCAGAGGTAGGCGGATCTCTGTGAGTTTGAGGCCAGCCTGGTCTCCAGAGCGAGTACCAGGATAGGCTCCAAAGCTAAACAGAGAAACCCTGTCTTGAAAAACCAAAAAGAAAAAAAAAAAAAAAAAAAAAAAAAAAAAAAAAAAAAAGAGGCAGGCAAGTATGGTGACAGAAGCTGGAGGCTGTGTGGTCACACTGCATCTGCACTCAGAAGCTGTGAGCAAACAGGAACTGGGGCTGGAGTATAAAGCCTCCAGGTTCACAGGGCATTCCACTCCCTCCAGGAGGGCTGTGCCTCCTACAGGTTCACAACCTTCCCCCAGAACACCAGCTGGGGACCACGTGTTCAAACATGAATGTATGGGGGCATTTCCCATTCCAACCACAACTAGACATTTTAACTTTTGATGTGTCTGTACATATGTTGGAGTATGCACACCCATGTGTGTGGAGGCCAGAGCATCAGGTTCCCTGTTCTATAACATTCTGCATTATTCCCTTGAGACGAGACTCTCTCTTACTGAAATTGTTTGGCTAGGTTGGTGGCCAGCAAACTGAAGTAACCTTGCTGTCTCTGACCCTTGCACCGCTGGGGTTACACAGAGTATACTGCCATGCCTAGCTTTTTATATGGTGCTGGGGCCGTGAACTCAGTTCCTCCTGCTGTTCAGTAAGGGTTCCAACCCACATATCCATCTCTCCAGTCCTCAGACATCTCAACTTCATAGAAATGAAGAACGGGTGGGTAGGAGGAGAAAGGGAGAAGTTTTGTGTTGAGACAGGGTCTTACTATGCATCCTGGCTAGCCTTGTATTTATAGAGATCCACCTGCCTCTGCCTCCTAAGTGCTGAGATTAATGGCCTGTGCTACTAAGCCAGGTTGGAAGTTTTTAATGGGTTTAGTTTTCACTTTGCAAGATGAACAAGTTCTGAAGACAATGTGGACAGACTCAGCACTCCTCAAATGCATGCTTAACAGTGGGTAAGATGGTGAGATGAAAGAGAACACAATACTTGACATTGAGTTGACAATTTTATTTTCTTAAGAAACATCTAGACAGTGCTACAGACAGCCCTAATGCATCTACAATGCCATACATAAAAGGACGGTTGCTTACAATGACATTTTAAAGCACTGAAAGAGAGCAAGTGCTTTTTGAATCCAAGAAGTCAAAATATATTCAGAATGGGTCTTAACGTCCTCACATGGATCAAGGTTTTAATACCTGCCATTTGGGGTCCTAGACAACCAGAACACACAATCACGTAACTTTGAGTGTAACATCCGTTGGTGAAAACCAAGTCTTCTGGTGACACACGCTAGTTACTCATCTGGCCTATCTCCATACACAGATTTAAAATCCTAGTTTCTGTCAACTGACACATTGTTTGGATTAACTAAATACATTTAGACTTCTCTATTATACAAACAAACAAATATATAACCAAATTAAGTGTATCAAAGTGCTGACTGTTTTTACAGGAACATTAACAATCTGACAGATGTTCACAAATGTACTCCACACTAAATATGTCCCTTTACACATCTAGAAACTTCCCTCTCTACATTATAACCAATTTTTCGAGTTTTCTAAGCAATGGACACCTCTCCAGCCCTTCAGATCTTCTTTCCTCCTATTTTTTAGTTACACTCAGTCCAAACTGTTGGCATCTGTGGCTCTGCACCCATCCTTCCTCACCACTAACAGCTCTGCAGGGGTCTAACTCCAGCAGGCAACTAATATTAAAGTTGTACAAAAGAGTATTAAAGATACTTTCTCTAAAAATACACAGAACATGTCATGCCAAAACATACAATAAACTGGTAATACTGGTGAATCGCACATAGAATTTATATTTCCAAAACAGAATAACTTAAATATTAAAACGTACCTTTATGTTTCCCAACGTAACTGACTTTATAAGCATAGTAAATGGCAAAATTTGATACAAAAATCACAAAATCCACTAGTTTTACATGCTGTGTATCACAGCATATGAACATATTTCTGTCATCTACTCCAACTACAAACAGCAGTGCTTGTCTATGCTAGGGCTTAGAACCTAATTAGAAATTTATACGAAACACAATTTTATGTTCAAATATGGAAATGAGTAACATAATTCCGAAACCCAGAAGTATCCCAGCATTCTGCAGGAAGAAATATCCCCAACGGCTGCATCCGTGATCACTAGCGTCATTGTGCAGCATCTCAGGCACCTGAATGAGGCAAAAACAACAGTTCAGCTTTCAGAAGTACAGACGAACTCTAGAAGAATCTGTAGGGCAGTGTTGATTGGGGCTGGATAAAGTATGGATCAGTTCCCAAGAACCCAACTATTACATGCGCACTGACTCTGGTAGGGCACAGACTTGAGCATGTCCTAGCAGCAGACTATGACAATGACTACTATTGTGAGATTTTGAGCAGGTACTGTCTGCATTTTCAGGTTCACCTCTAGAATTTTTTGTTTTTCCCCATGACAGGGTTTCTCTGTGTAGTCTTGGCTGTCCTGGAACTCGATCTGAATACCAGACTGACCTGGAACTCAGAAATCCACCTACCTCTGCCTCCCAAATGCTGGGATTATTTATAGGTGTGTGCCATCACTGATCAGTGTAAAGTTCACTTCTAAGGCAGAGAAGGGAACTCTCATCCTACTTAAAATACAAGTTTAGCAAGATTTCTTCCTAGGTGGACTTGGTGACAAAAGAATTTTACTTTGTCAATAAGGGAATATTAAGCATAGCCTGTTGACAACATTGGCTTGGGCTGGGTTTACTTTGAGCTTATAGACAGTTCAGGGCCTAATTCTACTCTGAAAGGTAAAACAAGGAGATGAGTTTTCATGTTTCCTGGAAAACCTTGGGTAGGAGAAAGGTGTGTAAGCGACCAACAGTGAAAACAATGAACTCAAAGGGTACTTACACTCTTAACTCTCATCATTCGGGATCCAGAGTCCCTTTTCATCACTGAAACCTAATACCATTTTTGCAATGAATTTTTTAAAAAAGATTGGTTTTTATTTATGTATATGTGGGTTTGTGCTTGTACACTGCCTGCAGAAGCCAGAAGAGGGGGTCAGATCCCCTGAGGCTGGAGGTACATGGAGCTGACATGTAGGGTGTGTGTGCTGGGAACCAAACCCTAGTTCCCCTGGAACAGTAGTATGTGCTCTTAGCAGCTGAGCGCTCTCTCCAGACCCTGCAATAATTTTTTACTGAACACTTCCTATATTACTTAGTCAATACCCCCTTATTTCTTGGAAACTTACCATGTCAACCAGAGCGACATACATGAACAAGCCAGCAGTAAGCGCAAATATCCACATAGAAACATTTTCAGCATAATGTCCAATGAATATTCCTGTTGCCATTCCAAGATACGCCAGCATGGCAGACAGGGCATTATAGAGAACAGCCTGCTTGACAGTCATGCCAGCCTTTAGCAAAACAGCAAAGTCACCTGAAACAAAAACAAACAAACAAACAAAAAATCACAAGGGCAAAGTCACTGAAGATATTTTATCCAACATCTCTGAAGGCTTCTTCCATGTCAGTGATGTCTATTGTATTCTTGTACTGTCTTTAAGGGGGTTGACAGCGGAGGTGCAGGCAGGAGCATCAGTTCAGTTATCCTGAGCTACCCAGTAAGCTTGAGGCTAGCCTGGGCTACATGAGACCCAATCTCAAAAACACTAAACCAACAACAAAACAACTGGCAATAGAGGGGAGATGCAGAACTCACATGATCAGTAATTAATAAAGGCAACCCCTAACAAGAGCTCCTGAGTCATGGAGATGGAAATGGTTAAACTTCCCAGGGTAGGAAGAACTGAGAATGAGGAATGAAAGGGAGACACAGGCACACTTTAGCATGTGTCAGGTAGATAGATGGGAGGCCTTCTGAATGACTACATACATGCCAAGGAACAAAAGTGAAAATAGTGTCAGAGTGTTTGTGAATGAACATGTGCCCACGAGAGGAGTTACCAGGACATGAACTGGAAACCAAACAATGGAGGAAGTTCTCAAATTGTAGAACAAATAGAAGTACAACTCATTGACTCCTTTCCTTCAGCTCTAAGACATTACATCTGTGTGCCTGTGTATGCGCATGCACGTGCACACAAGTGCTTGGGTATGCACCTGTGTACGAAGGCACTCCAGGTCAAATGTGAAGGTCAGCTTTCCTGCCTTGATCATTTCCACCTTACTGCTTTGAGGTAATCTCTTACTGAACCTTGAGCTAGGCTGGCAGTCAGCAAGCCCCAAAGAGCCTCCTGTCTCCATCCTCCAAAGCACATGTTACAGGAACACACCCGAGTGCTGGGATCTGAACTTGGGTCCTCATACTTGCACAGCAAGTGCTCTTAGCCACTGAATCATCAATCCAGAGTCTGTTTTTGTAGGTGGTACTGGGAACTAAATCCAGGGTGTCATGTAGTCCAGGCAAGTGCTCTACCATGGAGCTACCTACTGCACAATCTAGACCCTCTTCCTGAATTCCTGACTGAATTTAAGAAGTGTTCCCATATATGCTGTAGTTCTTTCTTGGGGGTGGTGGTAGTGGTGGGAAACAGGGTCTCATGTAGCCCAGCCTGGACTTAAAACTATGTGGCTGAGGATGACCCTGAATTCCTGATCCTCCTGCCTTTACCTCCCAAGTGCTGGCATGACAGTCATGCATACTCTATTGTAGGACCACAACCACTCATGTCCCCAGTGTGCTAGCACAGGAAGAGACTTGGTAAAGGATGGATACAGCAGAGGCCCAGGTACTGCTGGACAAACCCATACAGGCATCATGTACTTGTAGGGTCAGAATTCTGGCTGCAAACAATTTTGTGTCCAGTGAGAAAGAAGGGCAGTTAGATGAGCAGACAGTGGGAAGGCCTCAGGCTATGAAGACGCCACTAGAGGGCTCCTTAGCTGAGCCCTGAGAGCAGCACAGTTCATTCCCACAGCAAAAGCAGTCCACACGCTCCTCTTACCTAGTTCATGAGGCAGCTCATGACAGAACACAGCAACAGAGGTGCTCAGCCCACTGGACAGGCCCTCAGTGAAAGCAGCACCTGTGTAAATGAAGCCAAGAAAGGTTGGGCGGGAGGCTCTGAAACATTGTCAGTGCACAAAAATGATGGAAAAACAAGGACATTAAATTTTGGCTGTGTATAAACACCATCTCCCCAGCTCAACCTCTATATTCTTACTAAGAAAGTTACAAGCTGGGCGTGGCAGCACATATCTTTAATTGTAGTACTTGCAGGAAGGGGCAGCCTGGTTTACATAGGGACCTCCAAGTCAGCCAGAGCCACACAGAAAGACCCTGTATCAATATATAAATACGTATTTAATGTTTATCAAAATTAAATACGTGTTTATATATTTATTTTACTTGTGTGCAACTATGGTACTTGGGAGGTCTGAGGACAACTTTCGGGAGTTGGGGCTCTCCTTTCCTCACGTGGATGCTAGGGATGGAACTCAGGTAGGCAGATTTGGTGGCAAGTACTTTTTACCTCCTGAGACATCTCACTGGCATCAACCTCTATCTTCTTTATAAGAAATCTCATTGGGCCTAAATTTCCTTGGGAAGCACAGGCATATGTGATGGGGAAGGAAAGGTTCAACTGTCTAGCAATGAGCCAATATCTACAAACTGGAGAAGGGACTGCTATCATATAAATCACTGAACTGAGAATATGAACTAGATTAGAGGAATGCCCTCTGCATTCAGAAGTGTACAAGTGTTCCACTGGCCTCAGAAGAATTCATGATGTCACCAGACTTGTGTACATGCATCCTTTTACCATTCCACAAGGAGACTCAAGTCAGAGCTCCTCCCATTTAAAAAGCTAATTCCTTCTGCTGACCAATTGCCTGCCAGCTGTGCACTGGGGCATTCCTCCTGTGTCAGCCTACGCAGACCATGGAAAGGAGAGCAGACCCTCAGCAGACCAAGCCCTGGCTGAAATGCAGCACTCCCTCCTCTATCAGCTTCAGCTGCCTAGTTCCTAGTGTTTTCACATTTTGTGCCTGGAACTCTCAATTATGGTACAAGGATTTAACTTTGCATTTTTCTTTGGTTAGAGTAGCTGGGGTTACTGGATCCATGTAAATTCCTTCAGCAGAGAAAAGATGTGAACTCAACAGGGAACATGGATATACACTGGATGCCTCATTCATGTTTGAACCATGATCTGAAGACCTCATGGATAAGAATAACAATTTGTTGTTTGTGATGCAAGAGCTGGAACCCAGGGCTCATGCATACTATATAACTGCTCCACCACTGGGGTAGAGCCCCAGCCCAAGAACAACTATTGCTAAGTGCAATTTAGGCACATATCCTAGATTTATTTGTAACCCACATTTAATAAGTACTTCATTGTCACAAAGTAAACAAAAAAATATTTTGATAATTTTGGAAGTCAACATCCTCACCTAAACTAACCAATTTTTTGTTAAATTTGAATGAGCATTTAATGTGCTATTCTAGGCCAGCCGCCAAGGACCAGCTATGCAGCAGCATACCAATCGCAAGGCCGTCACTGAAGTTGTGCAGCCCATCGCCCATGATCACCATCCAGGCCAATGTCGCAATGCCGGCATCCTTTAGCTCCTCTCGAGAATAGCGCTGGCTGTGGCTGTGGGGGTGGTGGTTCTGGTGGTGGTGGTGGTGCAGAATGTGATGGTAGTCGTGATGGTGGTGAATGAGGTCATCTGACTGGCCCAGGGTATCATGGAAGTGTGAATGGCACTTGTTCTTGCAGCCCCTGGGCACGTATTCATTGTAGACTTCTTGTGGGTGTGCATGGGCTATCATGACCTCTTCCTCTTCCAACATTGTTGGCTGCTGGGAATCAAATGGCGAGGGCTCCTGGGAGTCTGCCTGGAGATAGCTTTCAGGTCCTAGGGATGAACACAAAGAACACTGGGACCAAACGGAAAGGCTTTGCTGATGTCCCACTGATGACTGAGCATCTCAGGACCCAGTGGCTCTCAGCTCTCCCTGCAGATAAAGCAGCAGAGCGCTGCTGATGAGGAATGCCAACAGGCTCTGTGGCATTCTTCAAAGGGAAATATATCATATGTTAAGAAGGATTTCAGCTGGGCGTTGGTGGCGCACGCCTTTAATCCTAGCACTCGGGCGGCAGAGGCAGGCATATCTCTGAGTTCGAGGCCAGCCTGGTCTCCAGAGCAAGTGCCAGGGTAAAAACCCTGTCTCAAAAAACCAAAAAAAAAAGGGGGTGGTTTTCAAGTGCAGTTCTAGCACTAATGAGGCTGAAGGATTACTTGAGCTTAGAGCTTCAAGATTAACCCAAGCAACACAGTAAGAGATCCTATCTCATAAAATAAAAGGGTTTAATTTTTAATTACATTCATTTTAGCATGCTCGCAAGTTGGCACATGGCCATGGCATATATGTGAAGGTCAGATGACAACTGTCTGGAGTTGTCTTGCCTTCCATTAAGTGGGTCGCAGACTGAGGATTGAACTCAGATAATCAGGTTTGACATCCAGCACCCTTGTTAGCTAAGCTACCCATCTCACTGGCCCTATTTCCTCTTAGTTCTCCCCTTTTTTCTCCCCCTTAGTTTACTAATGACCATTTTTTATTTGCTTTTTCTGTTTTTCAAGACAGGGCTTCTATGTGTAAAAGCTCTGGCTGTCCTGGAACTACCTTTGTAGACCAGGATGGCCTCAAACTCACAGAGATCAGCCTGTCATTAATCCAGCTTAATGACTTATTTTTAATTACAGAGAAATTCTCAAAATTGTAGATGCAAGTTGATTTAAGACTGGTTAGAATATGATTGTTCTCAAAATGGTAAAAAGCTAGTGACTTTTTGCTCATTTATTCACTTTTTCTAAAACATGATTACTACTAACAGTGATATATGTATGGGTACTTTTAAAAATTTAGAAACTGAAAATAAAAATTAAAAACATCTCTATCAAATTGTCCACAGCCCATCTGAAACTCAGTCCTCTTCAGATACACTCTGGTCTGCCCTCCCTCTGTGTCAGTGCCAGGACCTGTAAAGGGAGAGATGAGGGGACGGCATCGCAACACATCCAAGCTTCACAGTCAGGATGCGAAATGCAGAATTCCAGCTTCCAAAATTATTTGCAGCGCCTAGGCGACTGCCCTGTGAGCCATGACAGTGACTTTAACACAGTCCTCTGGGTCAAGAAAGGGATGTGTGCAGTGAACACATTTTTCCATTCCAGTTTTTTTTTTTTTTTTTTAAACATGCATTAGTATTTTGCCATGGGTTTCAGGTCCCCTGGAACTGGAGTTATAGACTGTTGTGAGCTGCCATGTTGGTGCTGGGAGTTGAACCCAGGTCCTCTAGAAAAGCAGCTGGTGCTCTTAGTTTCTGGGTCATCACTCCAGCTGTTCCAGCTGTTCTGGCAGAAGGATACAGGGAAACATTAGAAAACATCTGCCTTCAAGAAGTTAGTTGACTCTGTGATACAAGTATGCATTTGTGACAATCCCTAAAACTACACTTTAAAACTATGACTCTAAATGAGTAGAAAGCACACACACAAGTCTCTTTCATTGACTAAGAGGAAGTTCACTTGTGTGTCTGTAACAAGGGTACTTCCCTTCCCAAAGACTCAGCACCCATTAAGATTTCACTGGAACCCAACGTGATGTGAAACATTCACCAGGGTCTCATGATCTCACTCCGGTTCAGTTCTCACTTCAGAAGGAAGTCACTGTATTCACATCAAGTTCCTGGAGGCACAGCTGGGAGAACACTGAGGCTTGAAAGCCAGACCCCCAAGACTGAGCTGTTAACAACTGATGGTCCCTCACAGCAAGAGGCATTGGAGAGCTTGTTGGCCTCTTGCCTGAGATTCCGGCCATTTGTATGTTACTCTATCCTAATTGCATAGTCTTATGATCTCTGGGAGAGGGAAGTATATGGAGGGTGGAAAGTTAACTGAAGGGAGACTCCATCTACTCAGTGATGCTGAACAGTCATCCATATTGAGTGAGATTTTTGGGTGGTATGGATGCTTTGGGACCACCCATGTTCCTATAAGCCAAATAAGTTCATTAATTCCCCAAGTTATGCTATGGTGAAACCATACTTGGGTTTGTCATTGGTGCTGTCTTGGGTGGGTGGGGAGAGCAGGCATTTGTTTCTATTTCCCCAGGGAAAGAATTCATCAAACAGACATTCACACAAGAACCCTCCAGCAGTGATTGCTCTGTGGCAGTTCCTATGACTCAATAAGAAGCGTGGAGGAAGACCTTCGGCACACTGACCCACATACGGCCACAGCCAACACCTGCACCCAAGAACTCAGTTCTGTATCTTGTAGCAAATAAACAGGATTTCTGTTTGTGTCACATCCTGAGTTGTCCTCAGGAGACTACGTGCTTAGAGGCCTGAAGAGCACTCAGCCTGGGCCACAGCTGGGGTCTCTGCTGCATGTGCCTCCTTCTCCCTCCCCTCCTCACTTCCACAGTGCCATGCTCATTTCCTGGGCACCAGCCACCCAAGCCTGTGGATCCCAAGCCTGCTGAAAACTAACTGTTACATTAAGCCTCTCCTTAGACATTTGAATCCTGCCTCTCAGGTGGCTCCCAGCCTCAGTGCACATCCTCATCTGAGCATTCTTGAGATAATCTTTAAAAATCATAAGATACTTTAAGAAACAAACTAACAAACAGGTCACAGCCCCATCCCTTCCAAACACTCCCAGCTGCCCTGTGTCCCAGTGCTGCTTGGTTTTGGAAGACTTACGTTCACCTGCATCCACCTTCTCCTCAGTTGTGGAAAGCTGAGATTCGTATTTGGACAGCTGCTTCTTTATCTCCACATCCTCATCATTTTCAGGTTTCTTTTGATTCTGAAACATTCAGGAAGAACAACATTTTGAGATAGTTGATTTGCTTACGTAGACAACTTTCAATACAGCTGGGGCTGTAACGCAATGCTAGAGCACATGCCTAACATAGTGGGGACCCTGGGTCCAACCCCTAGCAGTACAGCCAATCAAAGACTAGACAAACAAAAGACAGAGAAGGCAACAGAGCTGACACACCTAGCTGAAATAAAAGCCATCCAAGGACTGGGCCTAGACTTGTTTAGCACCTAGTATGGTCTGTTGGCTGTAATAGCTATCAAAAAGGCAAAGAATGCCCAGATCTACAGAAATATCAGTTAATCTTCCCGTGTGACCTACACCAGCTACTGTAGTGCAGGCTCATGTGGTCATTGTTAGAAATGCACATCTTGGGGTACAAGAGGACAGACAATGATGCGGAACGTGGACTTTACTTAGATCTGGGGTGATTCATCCCTATGTCAAAACTGACAAACTCTACCTGTGTTATGCATTTAGGGCCAGTTACAGCCATTTCCTTCAAGCTTGCTTATCTCTGGGCTACTTCTTGGACATAGAAATGTACATTTTCATTTTTTTTTGTTATGAAGAGTAAAGTATTTTTCCTTTGTAAAATAGCACTAACATTTAAAAAAAAAAAGATTTAGTTTTCGTTTCTCTGTGTGCATGTGTGAAGGGAAGCCAGGTGAGGGCACTGGAGCTAGAGGTGGCTATGAGCGGCCTGAGTAGGTTCTGAGACCCAAACTCAGTCTTCTGCAAGAGCAACAAAGCTACCACTGGGCCATATTTCTAGTCTGAGCAACATTTATGTTGTAGAGGTCTCACTGAACAATCAAGCCTGTGCATTATTTATTTATGTGGAAGACAGTATTTTTAATCATAGAAATTATCACACAAATAATATTTATTATTTGCATTACATTTAAATGAGCAAGACACAGTCACTACTGTCCTGCAGCTGTTCCCCAGAGGACAGGAACTTTAAGGCAGATAAGGATCATGCAATTCTTTGCCTATAATCATGGACACATTTGATAAAAGAAAACCACAGGGTGCTATCAGAGTGTTTAACAAGACATGAAGCAGTTTCAGGACGTGTTCTTCAAAAATGCAGCACTTCAAACAAAATGTAAGGGTGAGCAGAACTTTGGAGTGAAGGATAGGGAGGCAGTATTGTAGGGAGTTTTTAAAGTGTGAGGGAAGGTCCCCAAACAGCAAAGATCCATTTCTTGCGTGGAACTAAAATAGTCTGAGAAGACCCTCTCTCTAGAAGGTGGTTGGGTTAGAGTTAAAACTGCAGGCCAGGTAACTCAGAGCATGCTATCTACAGAGTGGCATCTTTCTACAGAGCAATGGGAAGTCACTGGAGGATTCTGAGTAGAGGTGTAGGGCACAGCCTGCTCTTTATCAATAGAGTCTATGTGGACAGGCTGGGGAGGAGGGGGAGACAGCTTAGGCCCAGGCAAGCATGACAGCAAAAATGGTTGGGGAAACGGAAAGACTGTGGACATATTGACCAAAGCTGGATCTGATAGAGACATTGGGGTGTCACAGTGATTGTTTGGTTCCCAGTGAGAGCTGTAGCTTTCATAGTTGGAAGGAGTTGGGAGGTCAAATTGCTGTGAAGGTCTCACTATACAGAGTGAGTGCGAGCAGTGACTAACTGGAATGAAGATTTCCCACTGACATGCTGCCAGGTAACTGACTACATCTGCCACACGACTGCTCTGAGGCACAGCTTGGACTCCTTAGGGAAAATACCCTCTTGCTTCTGACTCTCATTATACAGTAAGCATTTTTTTTTATACTTTAACTTTTTTTTCCATTCATTTATTTAGCTCATAAATAAAGTCATGCACAATTATGGTACATAATACAGTATGTTCACAATGCCATGGCTAAATTAAACCAATTAACATGTTATATCACACATATTCATCATTTTTGTTTTGAGAACACTTAAAGTATACTATCTCACAACTTTTAAAATATAGCATATTGTTATCAACCATATTTATCATGCT